TACCGTGTACGTAGATGTTGAGGCTACGGGCACGGTTACCATGTATGCAACATTGAGACTACACGGTGAAAAAGGAAAAAATTAATGTCAACGTCAAGAAGGGAGCAAAGCAGTTACCGTGTACCTAGCTGAAGCCCCTCCCCCACGAAACTAAATGCCCGCTTACCGTGTTCGTAGAATGAGAGGCGCCCGGTTGCCGGTTACCATGTAGATCTATGTAGACACTGAGGCTACCGTACGTGCCCAGTTACCGTGTACGTAGACCCTGAGGCTACGTGCCCATTTACTGTGTACGTAGGTAGATCTAGACCCTGAGGCTACGTGCCCGGTTACCGTGTACATAGACACTCCGTTCGTCTAATTGCAAACAGTACTAGTAGGGTAGGCCTATTTCTTGCTGTTTGTCAGTCTAGCCATCATCCTAGCCTAGTCTAGTCTAGATATTTATAGGCTAGATTATGCCAGTTACAAGGTCGCTTGCTTACCTGCTAACTCTAGATCTAATTCTAGTCTTAGCTTAGAAGGCAAATAACCTGCCTCTATAATCCCTTCTAGATCTAGATCTAGATTCTAGATAGATATCTATATTATATCATACTAAATCTAAATATATCTAGATCTACGCTAGTTTACAAGGAGAAGCCATCGAGAGGCACATGTGCTTCGTAGCCTATGTTCTCTGTCATCGTTTGATTGAAAAAAGTTTATTCATGCAGAACTTACATTTTCTCTTGCAGAACGCCGTAGTAAAAATAGCAGATGAATATTCCAGCAGCACAGACTACCAGCTTTTTTGTGCTTGGCTCTCCCATAATGATCCCTTGACCAGCAGTTTCTGAAGTTTTTTCGGCCTCTTTTCGTTCAGCAACCTCGGCATGAGCTGAAACAGCCGCCTCCACATCTGTCCCTGTCATATAATCAGGATGGAAATTGTGTCAGTTGTGGTTCCCTTTTCTCTACTGTGTACCGAAAGTTGAGGCGAACGTGTCGTTTTTTCCGATATACCGGGAAGCCAGGTTTTTGCCCCATGGATAATTCAACGACGCCTTTAGTTGTTAAAGTGGGATTCTTGGCTCCCAATATACTTATATAGATTTAGAAAAGCTATTACGTAGCTTGATTGTATATGTTTCGTATTTTGATTCTAAAATAAGCTTATGATAAGGTAATTACGACTAAGATTGAGGTGAATTAATTTTAAATTCATGTTTATGCTTGTTTTCTTTCTGGCATTACAAGCACAACAACAATCAACTTCCGGAGACGCGTATTTTCTTATTATCGGACTTGGCGAGCAACCATTGGACCGCTCGGCGGGGGTTTCCCCGAATTACATATTATGGGATGCAATGTATAAAGAAAAGAATCTGATAGGATGATAATTTAGGCTAAGATAAAGTGGGATTTGGAAAACTCGCTCGCTCAATGAGTGAAGAGTGAAGAAGATAGATGATGATGATGATGGTGGCCTGCGTGAAACTGGGCTGGGCTTAACACACACACATACACACACTTACACACACACACACATACACACACACAGACTCTCACACACACAGACACACACAGGCCTACACACACACACACACACAAACACACACCGGTTAAATTACTAAATCAGTGCAAATAGGCTACAACAAGATGAGTAAAAATGTTTAAGCTTAGTTTTGGGAGAACGCCCCATTATAGTTAAAATAGGCAAGCTGAAATGTTGAAGGACAGGG